GCTATACGTCAAGTTTTCCGTGGTAAAGTCCATTTCGTTTCTTCGCAGAGCGAACAGAAGTTGTGTATGTTTATATCTGTGATAAAAATATAATTTAAATACAAATAATGATATAATTTAATGTAAAAAACTGTGGAATGGATAAAAAAGAATTATCAGTGACAAACATTAATAATGAAAAGAATTTGGAAAATACTGCTCCTAGTACATCCGCAGGTAATTATGTAATATGGTTGATTGCTATTGTTAAACTATATTAATAATATAGTCAAGTATGTACCTAACCTACCTTCTCATTAACTTTAAAAGTATCTATGAAATCTCCAATGCTGACCTGGGAGTGTAAGCAAATCAAGTATTTCATGTAAAGGAATACGTACATACAAACAAATCAACTAAAATGGTACCTACCTAATTAGTTTGTAAAACTGTCCTCTATTATTCTGATATATTATAATTTAATTATTTAATATAAAGTAGCGAGGTATGTATACTCAATGCCCTCTCTAGAAATCCCTCTACCCAGCCTAGAATACGTTATAATTTTTAGAGATAACCAAGTTAATATTTTTTTTTTGCGATAGCGTGGCGATAGCTAAGAATAATAATAAAATGTATTTACAAACAATAGAACACGACACTTGGAAAAGCGTTAAATTAAAACTGACGGCTTCGAGTTTGAGTAGGTAAGTACAGCAACTAAGTTGTATTTTTAATTATAAATTGTTATTATTAGTTTATTCACTATTCTATACAACAAGGATACGAAGAACGAAAAACAGCTGACGCAATGATGCACTGAAGCAGTTCCTATTCTGTAAGTAACTAGACTTAAAATTGATTATCATTTTCATAACGTCTGATGTTGTGCGTGTTGCCAGGACATACTTTCATACTAAAAAGACGTTTTATAGATTTTTATTTATGACTGGAAACTTTACTAAATTATTGTATCATTAGATTTTATAAGAAACGGCATGGTCAAATGTATTTGACACAGATTTAGCTTTGATTTCTGCATTTAATTGGCGGATATAATGTGACGTTATTAACATTTATGATACGCAACAAAAAAAATGTATAATATATTTAAGAAAGTAAAAAATATATCTTTGTTGCATTTGAATCTGTACAGTATTAATTTTGTGTAACCAGTCGTCAGTATATTGATGCTATTTCCATTAAAATAAAGAAAAACAGTACTTGGTAAATCCGTAGTGATAATATCATAATCAATAGCTTTGTTAGATATAATATTATCAGACTGCGATAAAATTGATAAAAATATTGCGATAAAACCATTATAAAACTATGGACTATGGCAACCTCGTTCACAAGGCGCCACAACGCGCCCGTAGCCGCGACTGTTTCGTTCACTCTTTCATTCGTAACTTTGACAGTTTTCGAAACGTCAGCCAGCCAGCGAGCGCGCTCGTGACGTAATACTCGACACGGAGGCAGACGTCGATGGTCGTTTATATTGCACGCCTTCGTCAGCAGTGTAACGTTGCGTATTCTGTGCTCATGAGGGATTGAAGTGAAGTGTAAAATCTAAATATTTTTGCAAGTGTGAGTGATAAACAATCAAAACAAAGTGCAATCGTATTGGATGTTGATCAAGTACATTGCAGTGGATATTATTATCACCCATAACCTTGCAAAGAATGGATTCAATAAAAGGTGAAACTGTTAAATGTTTTCCATATGTTTTATTTAGAACGACGCTCCGACGTCACGGTTTTTATTATTCTACTTATTTTTGCATGAGTAAATGCCTTCAAAGTATAGCGAAGGGCTTTAAATTAACAAGCAAAACCATTTAACCTAAAATATCCATATTTTATTGGAAGGTTTTCTTTATTGTTAAATTTTGACTAGCTTAAATCAACAGACTCTTTAATTAACAGACAAATAATTCTATTATAATCATTATTTCATTATTATTTCAAGCCAGGATGGGGTAGTTTTTTTTTATATTTTCATATGTGTTATCTCAAAATCTTTATCAGCTATTTAGATAACTTATGTTTAAATGATTCACTAGTGATTCTGCTTATTTCCAAGAAGTTATATAAAGGAGTTATTGTGTTAGCTTTGTCGTTTATCATCATTATGATAATGTATCATGTATTTACTTATCATTGTCCATTCACAATGACTTTATCTTCTATAACAAGTTTGGATTTAATTATAGAATACATATTATATAGGTAAAGATACTACTGCCCAATACTGTTTTTTTTTCTTGGTAAATGGCTATGGCTTACTCTAAATATGGCCTTGGAGCTTACCCTGTCAGGGCCTCTTGTAAATAGATTTGGATTGGATATATGATATCACACGACTACCTATGAATAAGAATTTTGAAACTAAACAATAGATCCTACCTAAATAATTCATACTTACTAATTACAAACAGGTTGTAATTTCTTTGTTTTTTAAAATGATATTAAATAACTGAGGGGGGATCTCCTTTTGCTCAGTAACTTTGCCTGTTTTGCATATGATGTATGTTAATGGAGGGAAAATGTATATATAATTATTATCATTATCCCTGTATTCAGTTGTGATTCAGTTATAGACTTATTAGGCTTTTCCTCATCACAATGTACTGTACACTGTTATTTGTGTAGCCTGTGGCTTTGGCAATACTAATTGTAATGAGACTCGTAGCGCCATCTTTTGACAACAATTCCAAACATTTACTGCCAAACAGTAGTACCTTTTTACAACAATTCTAATAATTCTCATCACCATTGTTTTACAAATTTCTGAGTTTTTTAATTTTTTTTTATATCAAAACGTAAAAGATTCATTCTTTTCTCCATACAACTCTGCCCAATTTTGTACCTCAAGTATTATCTTAAGCATTTATGTATAGATTAAGATACCCAATTCGTTGAAAATATAAATGGATTGAATATTCAAGTGGACCACATAAAATCATTTAAATATTAAAATTAATGGCAACACAAATATTATTTTATGGTAAATGTGCATCTTTAAATTAATGAAAATAAAATATAGAAATCATAAAAAAAACCTGATCAGCAAAAGCTTGAATATAACAAAATATTATAATGCAAGCCCATCAAAATAAATATAAAATAACTGAAAGAATGCTGAGTACCAACACACTTAAATGTCCCTATTGATACAACCAATCGCAATCAAGGAAATGAATTTGAAACCAATAGTATTAGCTGTCATCTGTCAGTCAATGACAAAATCCGTCTGGGTAATAAAATTTCTTTATAGCAGATTCCCTTTTTCAAAATATTTTAATTCAGATTTTCACCAATTTCTATTGAATTTATTGAGATTTTGATTTGTGAGTATAATTTTAGATGTTTTTGAGATAATTTGTACCAAGGTTCAAAATTGGGCAGAGATCCAAGGTCTTTGTTGAATGATTTTTCCACAGTGCTCTAGTTCGTTTTTACTCCGCAATATGGCGGATGAATATGTAGGTAGTTAATGTAAACAAGTGCCTTAGTACTGCCAATAGACATAAAACATGGACTGAACGACACTCGCCTGAAATTGATAATTCCCCAGAAATAGAGAAGAACCAGCAATACATGAAAATTTGGGCCGACCAATCGCTTCGACTCTCACACTTTCTGTCCAGTTTTACCTTAGAGTTGTTGGCGGGAACACTTAGTCCATTCTTCATGTCTATCTTAGAATTTGTTTAAAAATTTACGCATTTACGCACGCAAGCATTACCCAGGAAAAAAATAGATGAATAAAGGACACTGTGGGACTAACCTAGGGCGATAACTACAAACAAAAAAACCCTGACTGATATTATCAACACTGATGTTAATGCCTTCCATCTGGCGGATGCGCGCTTCCGTTGACACTATTTCCGGGATATCCCTATGTTTATTTTTTCAGCTTTCATTAAAGTGAACCCAGTTTGTTTAGGTTGAAGCAACAAGTTTAAAATTCATTCATAGGTACCATACTTATTTGTATTTGTACTTCTTCATGCAATTTTGAAATTCTTTTATTTTAGCGTTATAGTTCTTATGAGCCATAATAAGCACGTAGCCGAAACTGCTTAGTCTCATTATGATACGGTCTAGCATGAGCGCGTAGGCGTTACAGGCGAAGCAATGGAATTCGAAAGCCGAGCGCCCGGACCACCCATAGGCATGAGAACACGACCCTGTCCCCTTCCCCACGCTCAGAGCGCCGCCTCTTTACCGCTCTCTTTCAAGCTTATCCTGAATTTCATTTGTTCTTTACATTAATTTGTTGTTAAGCTTTTAAGAACAATAGCTTTTCAAAACAATTTCTTTCGCCATTTTTGTACCTCCATATTTTGTCAAACAGTAGAAAACTTAAGTCTAAAAAACCAGAACTTAATTTTATTCATAACTATACTTTTGATGTGGTTTGTTCCAATGCCTACGGAGATTAATATTGAAATGTAACTCAAAACGTGATGCGCCTAAGTACTGTCCGCATTCCGTGCAACTACTCTTGTGTACTTTTTTATTTGTTCTAAAGCCCGCCCAGCAGTACTGCCACATTCCATAGGCCCTTTTTTACGCTGTGTGGTCGCGGTTTCCGCTGAAGACGGCAACGTCGCGTCTCAGATATGAATGAAATCCGGTCGTCGGGAGGACGGGGCGGCAACGTTGCCTCAGACGTTCGTCTGATTGAGAACTTACATTATCCCTCCCGCATCGTTCCATAGATATCTTTTCTCATTTATTTAATATATCTAAGTTAGGAATATGCACCCAGCATCGCATCTCATTACGGTGGTCTATACATTGTTAAAAAGTCTTCTGTAACTAAAAGATTTGCAGAACAATATGCTTGCTCGCTATGCAGAATAATGTCTATCCTAGCTTTAATAAGTGATAAGTTAAAATACATTGCCTACGTAACAATAAAATATAAGTAATAATAACAAAATGGCAATGTGGTACAGCTGGGCACCCCACATAAGTAATTTGGAACCCTCTAAAATTACGCACGCATGCGCTATAGGGTAGTCGTTGCAGTCGTCACCAGACGATACAGCAAACGAGTAGCCAACGATGACTGAATTCGGACGAACGCCATCTGGAAAAAATAAAGTTCAAAAAGTAATTAGACTTGTGCAATGTGAAGTTTGAGTGTTAGCTAAGTGTTTGTTTGTAAAAATAAATCAAAATGCCGCTGCTGGTGGATTGCAAAAATAGAAATGGTAAAAATCGATCCAATTCTGAATGCGGCCATTGTCCGTTCCGTAGCATAAACAGAAGGCCTGTCTGTATTTACTACTTTAGTTCCGCCCTGTAGGAAAGATTGTACCTACTGTTTTTGTCTAGTTGTAATGTTGGTTACTCTTTAAGTATTTTTTTCTTATTAGTAATAATAAGGACTTGTTAGGTGAAGTACCCAACGCATAATATATTATGTGGCAGTTATAAATTTATTTTGTAATCAATAAGCCAAATGGACTTTGAAAACATCACAAAATAATTATTTATGTAATTAAAGCGTCAACCATTGTTGATTGAATAACAAATCTTTATTATCATTTGGGAAGTTAAACTATACAACAGGATAGGAGTAAGAAAATTGATTGTGGCCTTCGGGTGCATGCGCACTTAGAGAGGGGAATGGTGCGGGGTACAAGGGGAACCGGTGGGAATGGAATGTGGATGACGCAGCCAGCCCGACCGGCCGCGGACTTGTTGTTATGTGTGCTTTGAACATGCACACTGAAATTTCCTATACTGTATCATAAATAAGCTAATTTACAAATTATAATGTTATTTTTTTCTTCTTTACAGTGGCCAAGAATGCTGCAGTGCCTCTAGTTTTATCATTTATGAAAAATAAAACATTACCAACACCACCTACGTCTCCTGTAATCTCTGACGATAAAACTGATAACCGAGATCCATTTTTTTGCTCCGTTGTCGACTTTCGCCACGAAGAAGAGCGATTGAAAACATTCGAAAAATGGCCTTTAACTTTTCTGTCCCCCGAGTTACTGGCACGCAACGGCTTCTACTACCTAGGCAGGGGTGATGAAGTTCGTTGTGCTTTTTGCAAGGTTGAGATCATGCGGTGGGAGGAAGGGGACGACCCCGCTGCAGATCATCAACGGTGGGCGCCTCAATGCCCCTTTCTGCGTAACCACACGAGTGCCGGCAATGTGCCCGCGGATACCCCCCCAACGAACGGCCGCGACGAGTGCGGAGTTCGAGCCCCCCCTGCTGCGTCGGTTTGTTTGCCCGGTCCGGAACACCCCAAATACGCATCGGAAGCCGCCCGCATCAGCAGCTTCAAAGATTGGCCTAGATCTATCCGTCAGAAACCGGAAGATTTAGCCGAGGCCGGCTTCTTTTATACAGGACAAGGTGACAAGACCAAATGCTTTTATTGTGACGGCGGTCTTAAAGATTGGGAAAACGATGACATACCGTGGGAAGAACACGCACGATGGTTCAGTCGATGTGCCTATCTCCAGCTTGTAAAGGGTAAAGATTACGTCCAAAGAGTTAACACAGAAGCCTGCATGATCAATTCTGATGAGACCGAAGCTTCAGGATCTGCCGCCCCCGCAGCACCCCCAGCCCCCCCAGCCACGCAAGTTCCGGAAAAAGAAGAAAATCTCATAGACGATTCCAAACTGTGTAAAATATGTTACGTTGGAGAACGCAACATAGTATTTATTCCCTGCGGCCACGTGGTGGCTTGTGCGAAGTGTGCTCTTTCTACCGACAAGTGCCCCATGTGCCGAAGGACGTTCCAGAACGCGATACGTTTATATTATTCGTGAAAGAAGTCTGGGTGTAAAATATACTAGTCAACAGGAAAACGACATGTGCTGAAAACACAACCTTCCTGTGATTTACTTTAATACCAAGATCTCAAGTCTTAAATCTTGGTTTCTGTGTATTCAAAATCAGAACAATATGAAAGAACAGACAAGAGAATGTCGATAATGGGCCCGATTCTATGACTATCCAGCTGATCAAGAATAAACTAAATTTCAATCAGAGGACAGTTATATAATCGGGCCCTAATGCAATATCATTTTATTAAAAAAAACTAATGTGTAATAAAAATTAAAAATTATTTATAATTTCAATAATGTAAAAATGTACAGATTAATGATAACATTATTAAAAACTATGTGTAAAATCTTGATTTTATGTATTGAATGGAGTTTATAGACCATATAGCAAACCCAAATGATAATATTATGTTTAAAAAAATACATTTATTGAAATTACCTCTGAAGGATTGATTGCATTTTATTATTAGCAATAAAATGTTTCATAATATAATAACCCACTGATTTTAGATACGTATCGACAGCTACAGAAGGGTATCCTTAATTTCATTGAGAAAGAAGTATTTAGTGATTACCTTTTGTGATACAAAGAAAAGCTTGATGTGGTTATGTGATTACTACAGAACAATGCAGCAGTTTATGTGATCGAAAGAATGTATAAGTAGGTGAAAGTAGTTCCTATTTATTGTAAGTACCTAATATTTTATATGTACTCACAGTTTGAGATCCATTTAATACATATTTTCAAGTGTTTTGTGTCATCATCATCAGCCTATTTGTGTAATAATAATAATATATTAGAATTGACCTGAATTTTAATTTGATTAATGAAAATGTAAAAATTTCATTTGCATTTAATTTTAAAAAATAGTTATTTATATTAGAAATTAGTGGCCCGCTCGCGCTTCGCTTTGGTGTAGATTTTTATGACTAACGTTAAAATAGATGGTTCATTTCAACAAAATTGTTGAGTATATAAAAATTGATAACCGAGCTCAGTCGATCCTATTAAAAAGACAATCAGTTCCCAAACTGTAGGCGACGTTTCAGTATGCGGCGGGATATCGTTTTATCTAATTTATAGAGTTAAGAATCAGGCCATTAAAACGTATTCGCGACTCTCCGATTTATTCCAAAACGCGTAATAATGTTTAGGCCAGGTATATTTTTTTCTACGTCTTCTTTTCAGCAAACACAAGTAACAGCATCAGTTTTAGTTCAGGCCAGGTATATTTTTTTTCTACGTTTTGTAATAAGGCGGTTTGTGCCCAATGAGCATTTAAGTAAGATCTATTTTCCGCAAAAAACTAAGTTTTATCCACTTGCGCACTTCAACAATCATACTATTTCATGTTTACGCATTCCATAAACGTTATTCAAACTTACTCAGCTACTAACTTCGATAAAGATTCTTTTAAAATCACTTGAATACCGTTGCACTAAAAATTCTCGAGAAATTAAAAAAACGTTAAGATTACCTATCTATCATAACTTTGTTTACAGACAGATACGAATAGACATCGTCATAATCTTTATTGTTTAAGTTGTTGTGATGTCAATAAAGGAGGACGAGCGAAATGTACCCATGACGACCGACCAATAACGACCAGATTCATGTAATCGGAAAGCTCTTTTCTCGACTATTAGTTCAAGTAGTTTAGGCTAGTATCAATTTGCTATGGGAAAATAGAGCTAAATGTAATCTGTTAGTCTTTAATTTCTGTGTTTTGGCTATAACTTTTTCTTGCCCCTATAGTGACAAATGATTCATGAGTGCTATCTAACAACATAGAGCTGATCGTTATTGGTCGGTGGCTACATGTCCCATACATTACTGCCCGTTGTATATTTATTTTATTTTCAATTGAAATAATTTCATCAATGAATTATTAAATTTCTACAAATTCTTAATGGTCAAGTAGTATGTATATACAAATTGTGATTATTCAATTGTACATTCTCTAAATTATAATTCTTTGCAGCACTTTTTCCGACTGTAGGAACAAAAAAATTGTAATGTGAAATGTAGAAAAACAAGTCCTAATATGTATAAAATCTTTATGCATTAACCCCTTATTAATAAAGAAGAATAATCTTGGATTACTTACTCCATGTTTTGTCTCTGTCCATTACAAATCAAATGGCATTTGAGTATTATGAACAAAACGGTGAAACTTAGTCTAAGCTTATTTCTCGTTTATTAATATGGGGGTTATGGTATATTATTTCTGTCCTGAAAAAGAAATGATGTATACCTGAATGTGAATTTTTAATTAGTTAATTCAGACATCGATTAAGGTTATTTTCCCCAATAAAAATCTTTTTTTATTATTATTAAATGTCTCCTCACACACTAGTATGAAAGCTTAACAATTTTAATTACATATTATAAATTGATTCAAATTTCGCGCCGTATTCGGATATTTTGTAAACGATAGAAATCAATATTTTTGTATGGGGGTGTAGTTAAAAATAGTGCACTAAAAATAAGTTTCAGGGATCTAAAAATTCACGGTGTATAAATTATGTTTAGAGGGTGTGCAACGGAACGTATTGTTAAAATTAAAAGAAATTAATCTAAACAAGTATTTTATTTACATAAACCATTTAAAGCTTCTACACTAAATTGAGCATCATCGCAATACGAATGAAACTGCGATGATCGAGTGCGAATTCGTGCGGCAAAAAATCGCACGGTTCACGGGGATTATTCCGACAACTCTTGTAAACCTGCTGGCTAACATCGATAAGTAAAAACTATTCTGAACTATATCCCCCTTGTTAATTAACGAAGACTACGCTTGGATTAGTTACTCCATGCTGTGTCTCTGTCTATTGAATGACAAATTGCATTTGAGTAACATGAACAAGTTACTCCATGTTGTGTCTCTGTCTATTGAATGACAAATTGCCTTGCCTTTAGTGACATGAACAAAAGACGGCGTAACCAATCTTAAGCTTATACATCGTTTATTAATAAGGGGGTAGGTATAAGATTAAATGCCCTCACCGTGAATATGCTTGCTTTCTCAAACTAAAGATGGCGTCCACAAGTGAGACGAACTAAGTGGTACACGTCCATACATTCGCTCAATATGCGATAAGAACCAATAAGTAGTATAAACTGCGATGCATCATGCAAGTTCTTCATGCGATTTTACGATTTCTAGATTGACATATACTTTTATCCCGAAAAAAATTTAGGTACCTATGGAAATTCTCAAAAAACCAACTCGGACGAAGTCGCAAGCGGAAGCTATTAAAAAATATGAAAACAACTACTAGCGGACCCGAAGGAAGTAGGCGAAGGCGAAGGAATTTATTACACATACAAGGACAAGCGGGAAATGTAATTAGGTAATAAAGAAAATATAAATGTCACTAATTAATTCTACTAATATGAAGTAGCGTGGCAGAATAACATAAGTGGGGCAACCTTGCAATTTGTGAAGTACTCCCACCATACTTGAGCCTTTTTTTATAGAGCCGAACGTTTAGGCACTGGAGGATTCACGTAACATCCCTTCTCGATATCTTAAGAACTCGAATATTTTTTCTCGTATTCTAACTCCTTAGTACGGCCACCCCCACCCACACCATAAAAACCGGTAGATTAATATTTTTTCCGTCATCAGAAACGATACTTGAACCCTTTAGTAGTTTCTATTCAAAATTCTTGCTTTCTTAGACTTTCGGTCCTACATAGAAGGCTCGCGTATGATGGAAGTACTTCACAAGGTGCAAGGTTATCCCCCCTTATGTTATTCTGCCGCGCTCTAGTAAATCCCAAAACCCCAACTATAAGTGAGTTTGGATGTTTGGTATTCAATCACTTGAATATCTACGGTTTACTGATTTGAATGTTTGGAACAGTCTGTATTGTTAATGAACCCGCACGACGAATGCGCAGGATACTTCAAAAGAAAATATTACTAGAAAACTTTCCACTGTAACAGAAACTGTTCCAGGATAATATCAAATATAGTGGTTACCATATTGGAAAAATGGCGCCTAAAAGCAGTTTTTTGACAATATCTCCTTTCCAATTTATTTTACGATAAAAACAGTGAACACAAAATGAAACTAGAGACAATTGCCTACAATTTATGTATCTACCCTATTTTTCATAAAGTCAATAGTTTTGGCGTACGAGCGCCGCAGTCATTTCCACACTTTGAGTTAGAGTAAGTGGCGCGTTTTTTTTTGTGGTATCCCCAATAGGCCTAATCCACATGCAATTCAATGTGCTAAAATTTAGCGTATTCTCCTTCGCTTTGTTGTTCACGATGGACCAGGTGTTGCAAATTCATTGTTTGTAGTACAAATCGAAACGTCACAGACCGATATTTCATCTACATCATGGGTCTATTATAGTATAATATAATATCTATAGTCAGTATAGTTTATATTTACATTAATTTTATAACTCACAAATATAATGAGTTGAAATTAAATGCCACAGGTTGCATGAATAATGAGTCATTATTCATGCAACTTCAAAATCTATAAAATTACCAATTTTCAAAACTCCCGGAAAACTTTCCAGGTAAAACTACCAAATGACTGTACTAAAACGGATTAACTGATAATTTTTTCGCGCTCCGCAATATTGGATAGATTACGGTTGACCACGCCAGTGCTATAGCTGGTGAATAAGATCGTAAATATATCTTGGATGAGATTTTAGCAGGGATGGAAGATACAATGATGATATAGAAAACAGTGGGTGCTGAAAACAAAGTGCGCTAGGAAACCTTGTAAGAAAGAACCAGGGTCAAACCTAGCTCAACAATAGTGTACGGAATCGAAAGCTGGGTGTGTCAGAAAGAGCAAGAAAACAAACGCAGCCGAGAATATCATTACGTAGGATTTGAAGGCCGTAAGCCTTTGATCATTTGGCGCCGTAACATGTTAACTGCATTCGGAATATAGAAACAAGAAAGAGAATATCTATATCAAATGGAATGTACAGTGTCCGTTTAAAATTAAAAGGGATTTTTTATTGGTTCAGACATGTGGAAAGAATGGCAAGGCGGGATGAAACTGATAACACCGATATATCATAAGAACGTGGGGCAGAACGATGTAGAAGACGAAGAAGACAACCAAACTTAATTAAAATATGTGGCTTGGTCATTTCGCTACAATCACATGGACGTAAGGTCAAAATTGTATCCATTGTCGACTACTTTTGTGTTATACGAGGGCGGGATGATAAGTAACTAGCCTCTGCTATTTAAAAAGTTAAAATTTAAAAATATATATGTTTTTTTTAAATTTGTATCTCTGGCCACCTGTGTTCTAAATTTGAATTTGGTGGCGCGAAAATTTTATTGGTTTTTTTGTCATTTGAAAATATATTTCATCAACTGTTTTCAAAATAGATGAAATTGAACATTGAGTTCACTGTTTTGATTGATTTTTTGATTCTGGCGTGTAATGATGAACCCATGTTTTGTAAAAAAATCGGCCTTATTACTCTGAAAACGGTCCAGACATTCTTTTGAGTTTTGCACCCGAATCCTTTTTTGATCGTGCGTAAGCAATCGCGGCACCAAACGGGCCGATAACTTTTTCATATTTAATTCTTCACTTAGGATATGATGTACCCGAGAGTTTTTGAAATACCTGTAGTGTTAGCTATTTCAGATAACTTGAATCGTCGAGCTGCTAAAACCATATCATGTACTTTCACGACCATTTCCGGAGTCGTGACGCTTTTTGGACGTCCGGGGCGGGCTTTATCTTGGACACATGTACGACCGCGTTTAAACTCAGCCACCCAGTTTTTTACTGTGGCATAAGAAGGAGCACATTCACCCAAAACATTCTTTAACTCGTCATAGATATCTTCCCCCTACATGCCCTTCATATGAAGAAACTTCATCACCGCTCTTTGTTCAATTTCATCCATTTTTAAAACAGTTGACGAAATATATTTTCAAATGACAAAAAATCAATAAAATTTTCGGGCCACCAAATTCAAATTTAGAACACAGGTGGCGACGAATTTAAAAATAACATACATATTTTTTAAATTTTACCTTTTTAAATAGCAGAGGCTAGTTACTTATCATCCTGCCCTCGTACAATAATTAGTTCTTGTAATAACGAACGGCCAAGTCACATATTATAATTAAGGTGTAGAGTTAGAAGCTTGGTTCTGACAGACATGAGATCTGATATTTTTTTGAGTCTCGTCAATATGGTCTCGTCTTGGCAACACTTTACATGAAAATGTTTTTAGTGGGATTTCGTTTTCATTTTGTAAGTTGCGGGTGATCTTTTATTTTTTTGGGTTACATTGTTTTTTTTTTATGTTAATAGGACGGCAAACAAGCATGGGCCCGCCTGATGGTAAGCGGCCGATAAAGGCTTAAGACTAAAAATGTCACTCTCGCTGTTGCCTACCCTGACCCAATCCTCTACCCCGTGGAACCCTGGAGGCCTACCGCCTATCGAAATTGCTATGGCTACAGCTATAGCTTATGATTTCATTTTGTTATTTATTTGTGACCGCCGAAGATTTTCAAATACTTCACGTTCATTTTCTTTAAAATTATTTCTTTATTCTTGAATACGAGCATTTGTACTCCATGATGTTATTGGATGTTTAATATGTATTTCTATAAAATATGCTTATTTATGATTTTATTTTTATTGTTTACTTATATATTATTATTTATTCAGTATATGAATTCTATCCGTTACCCTAATATCCCATAACACAAGCCTTGTAGTGCTAACTTTGGGGCTAGGCTAATTGGTGTGTGTTGGAAATATTTATTTATGTATTGATATTTAAAAGAAAGAGCTCGAGTCATTTGAAAACCTTCGGCGGTCAGAAATAACAGAATGAAATCATAAGCTATAGCCATAGCAATTCCGATAGGCGGTAGGCTCCCTGGAACCTTAGTCACTGCCAGAAACACAAAACCACCAAAAGGTAGTTTTATTTTACTATGGTCTTCTGTAAGGTGAAGGTTTCCGCTATGCTTACATGTCTTCTACGTCTGGACGAGGGACGGCAAGATCTTCGCTTAGACATGTTAAGGGCAGTTTCTTAGCCATGTCCTTTGATTCAAAGCCATCCAATCGTTTTTGCGTGATTGAGTAAACAAACAAACAAACACAAAAGCCCTTGCGCTTCTCTTGGTTCGTCTTATCGTCTTGGCGGGAACACAACTGTGCCCCCAGATTTAACCGACTTTTAGGTTGTGGTCTTGTCAATTATTTTGTAACACATAATAATATTGAAAAGAATAAAGTAAATTTATTTATTCTTTGACCGATCAATCAATGTCGTTATATTATGAAATCAGTGACTGTACATATTTATTGTTATTCAGCAAGAGATTCTGTTTCAATTTCCCTATTTCGTTCATCATGGCGTCGTCCGATGCCGTTGACTTTTGAATTTCTTTGCATTTCTTCAGGAAATCCTGTATAAGTTTTTGTCCATCGCCAACTTCTTGAGATTTTACCGCAGCTTCAACCTCGAAGAGATTCGTTTCGAGTTGAGCTTGCTTTGCCTCAGCATACTAGAAAGTGAAGATAACATATAATTTATTTTTTTATGAAGATGTTTACGTTGTTGTAGAAATTGACAATTAATAATATTATAGTAAGATTGCTATTGTTGGAAGGGTACGACACAAAAAAATACTGTAACGACTACATTTTCGCATTATATAAAAGGACATGTTATAAATTATATTTAAAACAGGCGCTAAATTCTTAATCAAAACAAGTAAAAATTAAACAAAATTTCTTTAGCGCCATTAATTGTGGGAGTACCAAATATCCCGTAATATAAAAATTCCCGCGATGGAGCTCTATGGCGCAGTTTGTAGCGCGTTTGGTCTACGTTCGTGGATGTTAAGCAATTTTCGCAATACGGTATTTGACAAGTTTTAGAAACGATCTGACGTTATTTATATATATATATAATATAATATTTGTGGAGTTCGTAAGAAGTGGATATTCATCATTCTGTTGTGTATTTCAGTAAATAAAAACTAAATAAAAAATACAATTTACAAGTTGCCGCGAAAACGTTTTTTTGGACAATATGGCGTCTCACTGGTGTGTGACGTCAACGACACGCCTGTCATTAAAACGTCAAACGATAAAACGTAATATCGCTTGGACCGGAAGTTTACTAGCGTGTGACGTCATTTTAGTCTTCGCCGTTCCCAGGCGTTTACGGTCACGTGATAATGGAACAAAAAAATAATTTGTTTTCTCTGAATAGTGAAATCGCTGCTTATATTCATATTAAATACAGATGCCAACAATTAGTCCTTTATTTTTCATACTGTCAAAAAGCCCATTGTCAGTCATTGGATGGGTCACCAAGAACTTATTATCTCGAGCTCTTCCGTGCTTTGGAAGGGTCGTTAAGCCGTTGGTGCCGGCTGCATCTGCAGTCGTTAGCGTCCACCAATCCGCACTGGGCTCGCGTGGGGTCAATATCCCTATACCATACATAGGGAAAGCCAGTGCCCCAGCAGTAGGAAGATTAATAGGCTAATGATTATCACATTTATATTATTTTATATATCAAACAAATACACATAATATGCCGCCATAGCTTCTAGACGCCTGCAATACAAGAATATCACGCTGCTGACTACCCTAACCTTAGACAAATTATAAATAATTATTATTATTCCACTATCCTAACCCTATTTCCAGCCCCGAGAGACCCTGGAATCTATTCACTGACACACCATCAGAATGTAGAGTTATTGCACTGTGGTTTCTTCATCAGAAAATCCGCAATGACTTTGAGAGATTTATTAACAAACGGAAATACATTACCTCAATAATAAATTTTGGCGAATCTGCCAATTCGGCGATGTGTATACGTTTTTATTATTTTGTGCAATAATAACAGATGTCGGTCGATGAGAGTGTGTGTGACCATATATCATTCATAAGAAACGTCTTGATTAGACAGAAATATTGACGTCCTTAGTCCATTCATAGGGAAACAAACATTGAGTATATAAATATATACAAGATTATCAGAAAAAACATCATGATGATATCTTAATAAACACAAGAGACAAGAGTTATAGATTTTTGAGACGAAAATGAGTCAAAGTTCCCATAGAGCGAGGGCCGAAATGTGTGACGTCACAGAGCTCGATCGTGGTTTACTCCGGTTGAACTTTAGTAGCGTCTCTACGCGCCAGAGCGCTAGAGCTCTGTGACGTCACAGTCACCACGCGGCCAGCCGAAAATTCGTTTAGTAATTTGGTCATTACTTCGTCAATATTTGTCGTAGAACAAAAACTTTACCATTGTATTTAATACAATTCTTAGCTCTATGAATTTGCATTCTCAACTGAAAGCTAAAGAATAAATATAAACATGTGAATACCTCAATGATCGAGTCTGGTAAGTCTGCCAATTTGGCGACATGCAAGCCCAGGGAGTTAGTGGCCGGCCCCGGGGATATTTTATGCAGCAATATCAACTGTTGATCGACGACGGACGCTTCCGCGTGAGAGTTCACTATCACGCCCGGATGGAGACTCGGCAGACGCGTCAATTCGTGGTAATGAGTCGCGAACAGACAGAAGCATTGCGATTTGGTCGCCAACTCCCTGGAAGATAAAAATTAATACTTAACACAAAATAATATTTTATCTACGTAAATATGACCACGTGTTACAATTTCGGGCCAAACTCACTGGCTCCTTATTCGCCGACGTAGGGACTTACACGCGCTTCGCTTCTTTATTCTGTTTTTTTCCTTCCTACTCTGCGCCCTATCTAAAATAATGTTTCTTCTTTCTTGATTCTATGTCTATCTATCTTTGCAGGCTCACCCCATTCAACTGATTTCATTTCATATTCATACTCTGCGAATTCTGTTCGCTTATAGAATTCTCACTACCCGAAACAATACGAAAGGCACGGACTCTCAGCTCGTTCAGTAATTAAGTTAGGAGTTAACTTTGAAACTTTTTTTCTATATAGCCAGGTAGGCAAATGACTCTACACCACCTGATTATAAGTGCTGATAAAGTCCAAACGCGAAGATAGCTGTATAAACTGCCACACAACTGCCAATTGCCAATCACGCCTCTCTTACAGATTGTAGGAAGGAAGGAACACCTCTTAACTCTCTCTTGTCTCTCTCTATGGATATAATATAATTATTGCATTTTATTATTTAGTTCTTTTACTATAGCTATTCCTCTAAATCATTTTTTTCACTTTCATGGGTTGCCTGGAAGAGATTGCTGCTTAGCAATAAGACCGCCTATTGTGCACGTTTTTACTGCTCATATCATATATGTCTGTGAGGTGTATGTCAATAAATAATATTATTATTATTTTATACAGAATCAAGTAACGTATATGGAAATGCTACCTGAATTCAAAACATCACAAATGAGAAAGGATTTATAGTGGTACTAAGATACGTCAATTAACTTTTGAGTTAGAATCAAGTATTGCTATAAATCAATATATTTGAAGTCTCTAAGTACGGCCTTTAATGATTATTTCTAAAATGTAAGTTGAACCGATAAGTCAGACATGTATTTTATAGATATTTCTGAACATTTTTAAAAGTAAATGAAGAGAAACATACTCAGCAATAGCCCAAGCGATCCCGCAGCCTTCGTATGTGGATGTGCCTCGTCCCAATTCATCAACGAGCACCAGAGAATCTGGTGTGGCTGTCTGAAATAATAAAACAGGTCAAATTATATTAAATTCCTTTTTGGGACATTCGCGTTAAAAATCGGTTTAATGATACTACTTTATAAAACAAAGTACCCTTTTTGATCGATATCAAAGCAATTTCCTTGTCTCTCTCTTAGGTACTTTTGAAAACAAGAAAATGGCTTTGCAATAAAATTGTGCTTATCCCCTGAAAGAAAACTTAGCTGTTTAGACAATTTCAAGGGAATTTAAATCTGATTAGTTTGAATTATGTTTATGTAAAGCAGGACAAGAATACATTTGATTCTTTGTTCGATAATACATTTGTAATGAGCTCATAAATTACTAAACAGATTTTAAAGCGATTATCACCCTAGATAATTTTTTTACGGATAGTTAAATTAATGTCCTAGAACAAAAAGTTTTCACTACACCAGGGTTTCTGAAAATGAGATCGACGGACTAAGGGTCTAGAAGAATTTCGACGCGGTCCGTGAGGGCCGCGGTAGCATAATTGGTCAGTGCATTCGCCCGGATTGCGAAGGGTGCGGGTTCGAGTCCCGTCTGCTGCCTGGTCCACGTGGAATTTTTTCTAGTTATATTTTCTTTAGATTTAAACATCAAGCAGTTACATGCTTTAAAAAAATAAAATTATAATCATAAGATCTTCCTTCAGATTTTCAAAATGTTCTTCGTCAGGATTTTCCCGTTTCCTTGGGTTGGTATTCCGTACATCTTCTAATGGTGCAGAAAGATCTGGTTGTGATGAAAACAGAAATTGTTGTCCAGATATTGGTGTGCGATGCATCTTACCTGTTTCCTCTGCGAATACTGTGAGTTTCTCAAACTCCCACTCACTTTTAAAGCTTTGGTGAATTATAAATAGCAAACTAATTCGGAATATATTACTGTAGTTTTAAAGGTGAAAATTTAATAAATATGGAGAACCACGTCTCGCTGCAACAACGGCCCGGACGAGAATGAAATATGAGATGTGTTCGTCTTGGCAATTTATTCTGGAAATACTTAGCAAATATTAGGTGCCGTCCATAGCCCAAGCTCTGTGGTTCGACGGTTCTCATACAGACATATTTTCTAGGATGCCATTTAGCTTCTGAATTCCTGAGTGAAAGCATATGCGATATTTTGCCAGCATTACATGCTGTAAGTGACTGTGATACTATTAGCAGATTTAGCAGTAAACTGCAATGTTTGAAAGCTGCGTCTAAGATTTTGTACAAACAGTTCTTGTCTTTGGGAAACCTTGCTCTACAGAATAAGCAATTAAAACACTTAGAAATAGTTTGCACATATTTATTAAAAAAAAGTTATTTGCTGATGAACTCAGACATAAACTGATTTCTCAAAACATAGGTTTTAGTTTTATTTGATGAAGGTGATATGTATATCAGATGATTTGTATTTATTGAGGGCTACAGTACAAATATTTATTTGGAAAACATCCCGTCAAACACAATTACAACCCATTGATTATAGTTCATTTGGTTATGAAAACCTGAACGGCAACTTACGTCCACGACAAATGACTAAGCCGTCTTTACCAGTCATTAATTCAACCTTGTAAATGTACTGCAAATTGTCGTACAAGTCTTGCACTTGAAAAAATCAGAAATATTTTGTATTTCTCTTTAAAAAGGTATTAATAACGAATGCCTTAATAAAAATTAGTAATTGTTTGCCCACTTTACGTTTATTTCTGTTTAATTTCGCTGATTTATGTATATGTATGTATATCTTTATTTTAATTAATAAATAAGTATGATTTGATTACTTTTATTTTCGTTTTCTTTTTCATTTACATCTTCACTTTTACCATTAGAAAAAAGTATGAAATTATAACTTAAATAATCATTAAAATTATTTAATGTCATGTATTCAATACCTTCCTTTTACAAATAAGAGTAGAGGGGGTAAAAAAATAGAACAAATAATTTACCGGCATGATCCATATTATTAATGTTAGACCTATTTTAATTCAAATCCATTGCCGATATTTGTTCCTTACATTGTGCATACTCACTAACCTCTAGCGCCCGGTCTATTTAGAATTTCCCTAATTTTTACCAAAGTTTTTTTTAATGTCAAGAAATCAAACGATTCTCTGATATATTTACGATTTTGAAAGTTATTTCTAAATTCAAACTACAATTCGAATTTTATCTAAAAGCTGATCTGCTGCATTGAGAACAAAGGTCAAATTTCAAATAACTTTGATTATATTAAAAATTACGCATTCTATATTGTTTTGACATTTATTAGTGAATTTAAACAAGAATTACAGTATCAGTATTTAATAAAGTAAAATTTAATGTTTTTCAACACCATTACCTATAGAAACAGTATTTAGTAAGTCTGATGGGGAACCCGCCCGTGTGGACAAACTCATTGCTCTGTTAGGGGCGATCGCCGACAACTGGTAGAAAGAGGGTAGATGCAGATACAAAAAATGATCTTAAAGATGACGAATCCCAGTGCTCGATAAAACCTAGACAGGTTTTCGTAGCACTGGCTAAATGTATTGTTAATATTTATAGAAATGTGAAATTCAATAAATAAAAATAATAAATTATCGGGCAAGTGGCCAAGAATCAATTGCTTCCATCTTGTATTGATGTATCTTGTATCTTCATACAAATAAATACATTAAATACATCACTCACCCTGAGTATAGCAGCGGATTCTATCATTTCCAACATGAAAGTGCTCTGCCCCTTGTCTTCCCTATCGGCCGCGCCTACTCTAGCGGCCAAAGCCCTCAGTTTAGGAACTATCGCTTCAGAAGCCGGTACAAAACAACCCGCGTGCGCCATCAAAACGGCCACTCCACACGATCGCATCCAAGTGGATTTACCGCCCATATTCGCGCCCGTTACTATATGCATAACGCAAGAACCTGTAAATTTTATCAATAGCCACTTACAATAAGAAATTACGGATATACTTCCCGGCTCTATATGATTTATGGAATGTAACATATTTTTACCTAGCCCCCTTTTTGAATAATAATATATTGAATAACTAAACAATTATAAAATAAAAGATAAATTAAAACATTGGTTGCTACCTTATTATAACGAAGATACCGAGATGCTTTCAGTACCTATTGGGTAGAGTTATTATTATTACTAATCTTGATTTTCTTGCAAGCAAACACACATACGCAGACAAACACCACTTGCACACACACATAAATATACTGGACACGTTTGGTGTAGTTAATGTAGTTGCTGTGTTTTTTTGTGAATATTTTTTTGTCTCGTTTCTCATTTGTCTAAAATTAACAATACCTAATTAGTTTACTTACATCAGGAGTCAGGGTGATGTTGATTAGTAAATTGGTAATGTTAAAATAAAGTTTTTTTTCTTCATTCTAGTGATATTGAAAATTTACAGGTGCAACCAGTGATACAAAAAAACATAAAAGTGACTTTGTTTGTAACGGAGTAAAAATAGATGGTTGGTATAGAGATAGATGAGGCCCCCTTGCAAAGTGATATTTCCGACAAAAGCGTAAAATTTTACGCTACGGAAATATGTGTGTTTGTAATGTGTGTGTGTGCTCAATGTATCTTAAATAACGCATCAATTATTTTTTATAACCAAGTTGCATCATGTAATAGAAACAGAAGTATGATTACTTACCTCTCTTAAAGGTCACATCGTTAGGAATATAGGAGATTCCTTCTTGCACCTCCAAGCATGGATGCCTCACATCCTTAAGTACTAATTCGTTTAAGCTTTCAGTGAACACCGGCTTGCAATAAGGATAAGGAGCAGAGGAAGTAGCTACGGAGAATGCCACTAACACATCCAGTCGAGATAATATGTGAGATAAACAGAAGAGGCATTCGGAGTAGCCAGCTGAAATGATAAAACGGAAATATATGAACGCCAGTTGGTGCCACGTCGAAGTCTTTTAAATGAAGTTTTTGGCACGGGCTTTAAGAACGAACATTTAAATTGATTCATCGACTATGAACATATAGGTAAGCGATTTGACGGTAGAGTAGACCTTTCGTCTCAATGCTGCCACCTGGTGCCCGTCATTCCAGAAAACCCTCATTTCAGTGAACATTATCATCATCATCAGCCTATTAATGTCCCCAATGCTCACTAGTGTATCCAATCGGGATAATATGTGGAATAAACAGGAGAGGCATTCGGAGTAGCCAGCAACTCCGGGTATTTTGGTCCCAAAATACATTCTTACACTGTGCATGTTGTTATTTATATGCCTATTTGGAGGGTGACGGAACAGTGCTGGAAATAATAGTGACTGAATAAACACTTCTAAAATTCCTTTATTACGCATATTCCCACCAAGCTATAAAATCCGCCCAAAATAAAAAAAATATACATATACTGTAGGATGATTTAGAAATAGTTTTTTTGCGAAAATCCTAGGGATTTTGCGAAAACGCGAGTTGCGTGACGGATCACGCCACCCTCCTGATGTTAGTTAAGTGACGGTGAAGTCCAGACGCTAGCTAGAAGATAGCTGATACAGTGGTTCTACCTGCCACACCAGCCATCCTCACCCTGCCGGGCTGCATGCTGCTTCTTCACGCCTCTTTTAAAGGAGCCCAGGTTGTAAGAGGGAGGGAACAAGTGAGCGGGCAGAGCATTCCATTTACGGATTGTGTGACAAAGAAATGGGTCACCAAACATCTTTGTTCGCGTCGGAATAGTGGCCTCAGTTAGTCGGTGGCAGTAACGCAGGCTAGCACGCGTGGTCCTCTGAAGGATAGAGAAAGGTGGAATAAGAAACTATAACTCCCCAGATAACTCGCCATGGTACAGACGAATAGAACGCGCTTAATGACGCCACGGCGTAATTGAAGAGGCTCGAGGTGCGAGGATCGTGCGCCGATGTAACCTATCCAAAGCATCGAGCAAGTACTAGGCGGAGCCATCCCAGAGGTGTGAGCAATATTCCATGCAAGACTGCACCTGCGTCTTATACAACAAACACACTTGATCGGGCGTGAAAAAACGCCGCTCCTTGTTCAGGACTCCGAGCTTGCGTGAGGCCATTTTAACCACGCTTTCGATGTAATTCTTTGGATTTAAGTCACAACGAATTTTCATACCGAGCATGGTGACACTGTTCTCTAGCTTCAGTGTTGTGCCCTGAAGAGAAGGAAATGAAAGAAATGGCGACGTTTTGCCGTATTCCTGGGTTTTCTTAGCATTAAACTCGACCAAGTTCTTGGTAGCCCATTCGGAAATGTGGTCCAAAGCCTGATATTGAATTCAATGACAAAATTCTCCCGTTTTTCCTTGGTTACCGCCTGTCCAGCCGCTGCTTGTCCGAGATATCCCGCGTGCAGTGCACTATCGTCTGCATAGCAATAGATATTCCCAAGTGGAATTAAGTCATAGATATGCAGCAGAACACGAACTTCTACCGTCCGTTAGGACACGAATTCTACGCTCATGCAGGAAGTCAGCTACCAAGGAACAGAACTATGCCGGCAGACCGTATGCCTGAAGCTTTGAGAGAAGGCTTTTGTGCCAGACCCTGTCGAAAGTCTTGACAATGTCAAGGCTGATAGCTAATGACTCGCCCCGCTTGTCGATTGCCTCACCCCAGATATAAGTCATGTACGCTAGATCACACGTCGATTTTTTATGTCAAAAACCATATTGACGATCATTAATCAGGGAGTGACACTCTAGGTAGCGGGTCAGATGGTTGTTAAGGACCTTTTCCAGGACTTTACATAATACTAAGGTGACTGCTTTTGGTCGGTAGTTTTCCGGGTCTGAGCGATCCCCTTTTTTGAGCACCGGTTGGCATCTCTACTAGTCTCCGGCACACGCCCCAAAGAATACGAGCATTGGTACAAGCGCGTGAGCGCGGGAGACAACTCCGCTGCACATTTTTTAAGTACTTAAGTAGTTACTTAGCAAATTAGCTTACAAAAACACTTGCGCGCGAGGTTGGATAGCAATTTAAAATGTCAAGTCGTCAATCTATCAGATATGTGGTTTTAGGCACTCAGGATGGCCAATCTTATTTATGATAAGCCCATAATTTTTTTCGCAATCTGACTGAGGCGACCCTGCTTTTTCGTATAAATCCTATCTTTTTTCAGCAAGATTGAGAAATGCCATCGCTATTGTCCCATCATCGGCGTTTTCGCAAAATTCCTAGAATTTTCGCGATGATTCGATTTATCAAATTATCCTACAACACATACAAGAATGATAACCCCACAGTAGATCAACAGTAGACAAGATACATTAATAGGCCGATGGTAATGAACTCTAATATTACCGTATCGTTGGTTATTTCTAGAAATATAGTTTATAGTTTGAAGTCCGTTTATGAATTAATAGAATTAATAATATTGTTTACTTGCTAAAACTATCTACGTAAATAGCGGATTGACATGACCTTATAACGTTTCCGATAGATATACACTATAACTCCCTGGAAAAAGTACTATTCACCCTTTCCTTTTGAAGGAATTATACACTACAGAATGTTAAGATTTTATATAAAATCTTACCAGCGATCCCGACGATTTCAGTGACAACTTTGTCTTGTTCTTTTTCGTAAGACGATTTCGTTTGAGTGTACTCCTCTGTAATATCTTCCAATTTGCTGGTTTTAAATCTTACGCCGCCTTTGACAGCGTCTATAATCGTGTATTTTTTGTTGCCTCTGAGTGCTTGTTCTTCTTTTAAAGTGACCCTTTAATATATTTAAAAAAAATCTATCAATAGGTATCCTACTTCTTACTAATATTATAAATGTGACAGTTTTGTATGTTTGTTATTCAATAACGCAAAAAGTACTGAACGGATTTGAATGAAATTTGGTATGCTTGGCTTTTTTATCTCGACAATTTTTTTGGTTTCTGTGGAATTTTCAAAAAACTAAGACTTACTCGCGGGCGGCTGCAGGTGTTCAATAAAAAAAATATAAGCACATAAGCATAGCATGGAGGAGCTCGATGACGTGATTAGCGCATTCGCCTGCGATAGTTGGAGTAAGGCAACTTTCGCAGTGGCTGGTCATTGGATGGGAGACCAAAAGTTTATTATCTCGTGATCCTCCGTGCTGCTTCGGAAGGCTCGTTAAGCCGTTGGTCACGGCTGCATATGTAGTCGTTAGCGCCCACCAATCCGCACTAGGCCCGCGTCGTGGGTCATGGCCCAATCTCCCAATATCAACCATAGGAAAAGCCTGTGCCCCAGCAGTGGGGACATTAATAGTCTGATGATGATGCTGAAGCATTGAAAGTAACCCGAATCAAAAGCTGTTTTTATCCCTTAAATAAATTTATTTTTACAGTACTGTGGGTGCCCGCGACATCTTTGATGGTTTCCCATACAATGATCCATCCACCCCCTCTAAAGATGATTTCTGCAATAAAAACTATCCTATGACCTTTCTTATGATTTTAAATACATAGGAACATTCAATTGAATAGATTCAGAGGTTTAAGCGTGAAGAGATAGACAAGAAAGACATACAGACAGACACACTTTCGTATTTGTAATATTAGTATGGATTACGGCATCTGGTACTAGTTTAAGGTATATTACGAGAGAGAGAGAAAAGTCGACCTCCGTGGCGGCCGAGTGGTATGTATATATCTTAGTATGATTACTAAGAGCATTTATACGTCATGGATGTTTATACGTCTTTCTACATAAAAATACTTTTATATGTATCAGTATATGTATTCCATCTGTTACCCCAGTAAACCTTAACACAAGCCTTTCAGAGCTTATTTTGGAGCTAGGTTAAATTGGTGCGAGTGTTGGAAATATTTATTTTGAACTACCTGAAATGGTAACCAGCCTGTGGGTTGTATTCCAATTTGATTATCTTCCCGGCGTCCATGCCTAGGTCCTTGGCCGCTTTGTTCAATTCCCTTTCGGCAGATGACTGGAGTTGTTCCAACTGTTTGCTTAGGTTTTGTAGTAAATCGTCAAACGACGGTTTCACAAGATAATCCCCTGAAATCAAATACAAAATCAAAATAAGAGAACCTGAAAAACATGACAAAAGTGACCAGAAGCAAGAGTATCTCTCAACATGCTAGCATGTAAATAAATATAATAATACATAAATAAATAAATATGTCCTATACTCACACCAATTAACCTAGCCCCAAAGTAAGCACTATAAGGCCTGTGTTATGGAATACAAGGGTAACGGATAGAATACACAACTGTACATAAATAAGTATATTTTTATAGATATACATATTAAACATCCATGCCTGCAGTACGAATGCTCGTATTCAACACACAAACATCTGCCCCCACCGGGATTTGAACCCGGGACCTCTCGAGTCGGTGACACCATGAAACCCGGCGTACATACCACTCGGCCACGGAGGTCGTCAATATAACTCGTGTCATTAAAGAAAATGCCGACGCAAGAAAAGGCATTCTGTCTCTCTCGCACATTACTTAGGATAGCATGTGCGAGAATGCCTTACGCAGTCATCTGCGATTCCTTTCTCTATTGACACGGGTTATATCATGAATTTTGAGTGAACTGAGTTTTTTTCTGATTTACTGAGTTTTTTTAATTATTTAGTAATTCACTAGTAACTATTCTCAAGTATTAACTCAAAATTTACGGTATATATACAGGGTCTTAATAACAACGAGACAACTGGTGAAATGACATGATATTTGTTTCCAAACGTTACCCCGGCATCACATAGCACAAGCCTTACATTGCTTACTTTAGGGCTACACTAATCGATATAAGAAATATTTAGAATATTTATTTATGTAGGAATGACTAAAAAATACACTGTTTTTTTAATCAATTTACTATTTATCATCCACTTTAAAAAAATCTTACATTTATCATCTTATTATCCTTCCTAGACTTTCTATTTTTCTATCCTCCCATCCTGTCCCGCACACATACCCTTATGACCTTATCACTCACACTCGCTCATCTACAGCTCAGAACAAGAACTAAAGCATAAAAGAAGTATAAATTCAACTCATAAATTCGACTAATATTTTTACATAAAGACCAAAAAAGAGACATTATTTAAGTTGCTATGAACAGCGTGCGTATATGGCGTATACAAAAGTCAAATTGATATCTTGTGGTTACCTTTACGATACAGAAACAAAAAGCTTTCTAATATCAAATGGAACCTGCTATTTTGGTTAGGTAATACCAAGGAACTTATATACTAACTGAAATGCTTACGCGACCCGCAAAATCGTCCCAAGAGCATAGCTGAATTGGTGGAATCTGTCTCGTTCTAGAAGTGTGTTCAAACAGTTGCAAGAGTGGTACAGATTTCACTATCGTCGTTGTCGCGCTAGGAGTATTTTCCCCCCTTATGAAGGTAGAAACAAAAATGGACTTTATGTATAACTAGTTAGAGTACATTTTTTGAATTCCCATATTGTTTCGTAAGCATTCTAGATAGTACATAAGTTCCTTGGGTAATACTTTCCTTAGAAATCTTTTGTCTATGGGAGGATACTCTTTAACGTCATATCGTTAATTCTTTGCTTTAGTTTTTGCTCTGACAATAATGTTATATCATACATTTATTTCAGTTTTTACCTCTGTCGACTGCATCCATGTCCATAGTGGTCTCAATCATCTGTTGGAATTTATCAAGGTCGTCGTTCAACTCTGATATTGGTTCCGAGAGAGAAGAGTGGACGGTGGCGTTGTTTGCTTCAGCCAAACATTGCAGTAACGACGGCAGCCTTTTTATAGCCTAAATAAAATTTTCTAATGGGTAATAATTGTATTTCTTAATTTTGAAACTTAAATTACCTATAATTCAAGTCAATAAGTATTTGAAAACTGAAAAGTCGTTTTACAATAAAATTACGTTCAGAGCGGTTGTTGGGGTTGAACAACTTTCGCAAAGACCGGGAATAATAATCTGTATATATAAAGGGCAAGACTTACTGACTGATCTATCAACGCACAGCTCTCACTACTGAACGGATTGTGCTGAAATTTGGCATACATATAGCTATTATGATGTAGGAGTGCACTAAGAATGGGTTTATATGGGGTTTTGTACGCAGACGAAGTCTCTGGCACCAACTTGTATTATCAAAAACTCGTCTCTATTGATGTATAAAGCCGTTCGTCGGCACCAAAAGTAAATAAAATACTAGTAGTACGATTATATTCTTAGATCTTTCATCTGCAACAATTCTTGAAGAACCTCTATCTTATAGAACACCACAGTGAAATAAAAGTAACTTTGGGTGGTACATTTCTATCAGTGAATTTCAGAGATCCATGTGGTTGGGAATGAGGTAAAGATTTTAATGAACTTTGTTTGCAATTAACGATTTAATATTGACTAATATATTTGGCTGAAATACATAACCGCGTTACGGCATCGCACTGCAAAATCGGCAGTGCCATTCGCCGCTATGCAGAATTTTACGGTGCGAACCGTACTGTGACAACAAATGCAGGAAGCACTTTAATAGTTATTTATGATATTAGTAAGTAAGTAAGTAGTAAGTAGGTTAATACAAACGAGGTAACGAGACGTCGAGGTTTCACCATAGTCACGAGTTTGTAAATACGAATTCCGCACAAATGTCATACAACGTTTTTTCAAAAATTTTGCAAGAAAACAGTTCCTATCCTAATTTATGTAATGAAGCAAACTTTTCCTAATAAGATTAAAACGTCTGACGTTGGTGTAGATTCCTTGATAGCTTTGGTTCAGGAACGCCCTTGTTGGTGGGATGCAAGTAACGAAAGTTAAAAAAAGCTGTAGCGAGTTTAAACATATCGCGGCTCGTCGCGTCTTTTATATTCGAAATAAAAAACTGACCTGATAGATCCTATAGCAGTCGTGTAAATTAGCCTTCTTTCTCGTTAGCCTTCTAGCCAGGGCTTGCAGGTCTGGTATTCTACGCAAATGGTCTTCGTGCAATTGTAAGCGTAATTGAGAACTATTTACTAAAAGTTCTACGATTTCTAAGCGTTCGTTGATTAGATATATGTCTCGAAGCGGCTGACGCAGCCATTGGGCTAGTAAACTGAAAAATTAAGAACATATTTTTATTAAATTGACATAAAAGCATAACTATCTATGTATTTCTATAATTATACATATGTGCAGAATCACACTGCAAAAGCTGAAAGGTCTCTGTAAAACAAAAATAAAACCGAAATCAAAATCGAAAATGGAGCTCAAAAGTAAAAAGATATATCTGGTTCATAAGGGTTCACGATTTGGAAGTCGGGTGGAGTCAAGATTGAAACACGTATTATTACCGATCAGAAATGAAAATCTATTCCATGTTTCAATCTTGGCCCCGCCCGACTTCTAAATAGGGAAGATATATTTTTATTTTTGTTTTCATTTTAAAGAATCCCATGTAGAATAAACCACAGATAAAATAAAGAATTAAAACATTGTAATTTATAGGAAAAAATGCGGTTTGAAATTGATAGTTTAAATCGAAAACGGACCTATGGTTCCGATGACTCATGTTTTGTGCCAATGTGTCCATCTACTTCAACAAAATTTCCAAAAAAATGGTTTTTTACTTTTGATTGAATTAATTTAATTGACCCAAAACTGAGAAAAAAGTGGTTTCAAGCTGCGAAGAGAAATTACAATTATTCTCCAAAGACCATTATTCGATGCTTTGAAGATCACTTTTACGTAAGTCGGCAAATATACTTGTTATATGCTTAACTAATCTCCTTGTACGTAAAAACGCGTTAGTAACCTACGTAATACTTCCAAAACCTAACTTACCAAATATAACATATTTTTAATTTTACAGTTGGAGAAAGACGTCGAAAATAGGATAAAGTTTAAAATGTGTGGCACACTCTACACATTGGCAGGACTGAACCAAGCTTTGCCTTTCATTTAAAATAACTGTATTACGATAACCTTCTTTACGTACTTTATGCTCCGGAGTAACTGTAATTAGCATTTAACAAACCTCTGTGGTTTTTCTAATGCTGTAAATATAAAATTGTAACTACTGTTTATAATGATAAATAAATAAAAAAATAAAAAAACGACTTTTTATTGTCCATAATTCTCCATCTGTTTTAATTTGGACATAGCCGATTGCGTTATCGCCGTAAGATTCTGTTGTTGAGCTGAAATAACTGCTATGTGTAGAAGCCGCTGAATAAAATACAAAGTTTAACAACTATGATTTATTATGTATAAATCATCAGTAATTTAGTCCCTTTCATTTCTACACTTGAAAACTCTGCACTTTGGAAAAATAGTTACAACCATGTCAACACTAACTCTTGGTAAATTCCTGGAGTCTGCTTTAATAAACCCAACTTCCATTTGTATCAAAAAACGCAATTAATATTTCCGTAAAATAATATTCACTTTTACAACCATAAACTCAAATAAGTTGTCATAACAGGAGTGACGTCACTAAACGCTGATTGGTGTTTTAAAATACAGTACAATCCGTTTATTATGACTTGGAAGGGAATCGACAAACGCGTCATACTAAGCGGACGTCATACAAAGCATTTTTCTGAAAAAAGATTGTGAGATGAGTTTGATTCTCCATTTTCTAATCAGCATATAATTGCCAATGTAGTAGTAGAGTAGCCTAAGATCGATCTGAGTGGCGTGCATTTGGAAAGGCCTATGTCCAACAGTGGACTAGGCTGTTGATGATGATGATGATGATATTATTGCACCTTTTTCCTCAGTCGTAAATGCTTTACGAGGTTGAGATGACATTTTATTACATAGGATATCACTAAAAACAATGCGTGGTGTTCAAATGTAAATTACTCACTGAGATTCAAAACAAAAACGAGCCACGTGCCGAACGTTGTCGGGAATCAACGAACATTACCGAAGGTGTAAAGAACCATGTCGGTCACTATAAACGCACCAAATTGATTAAAATGGGTCATAATAAGCGACAGGTCACTGTAAGCGAAGTCATTATATCCGACATTGTTACAATGAATTTTATATGAAAACCAAACTACGTTGTGTAATTACGTCATAATAGGCGGTTGGTCAATATAGGCGGAGTCATAATGAACGGATTCTACTGTACGTTTTTTTTTCAAGTAATTTTTAATTCGTAAGTATTGCTAAAAAACTACATTATGTAAAATAAAAACGTTGCAGTAGCCTTTCTTTTATATTTTTTAACATTTTAATCATAAAATTTTCATAAATATTATATTTGCATCTTTCCTATTATATAACAAGATATTATTTTTTATTTTTTTTCCATTTTAATGAAAATTACATCGTCTAAGTAAACAATAAATAAAAATGCTTATAAAATAAAAACTACTGGGTCAAACTTAAAATTATTTTATGGAACCAAACGGAAAGTATCTCCTATTGCATAAAAGTAGAATCACTGAACTTGGACCAGAAATCTTTAAGTAATCGCCCAAGCAACAAAAATTATTATAAAATAAAAACTACCGGGGTTAACTAGAAAGAAAGAAGAAAGAAAATACATTTATTTTGACACAAATAACGAGACAGCACATACAAGATTTTGAGAACAAAAAAATACAAGAAAAAGAAAAATTATCGTAAACAAACAACACAAAAAAGTAACACACACTAATAACTAATAATAACTGTCGTTACAACTATGATTTATTCTGTTGCTATCTCGCGGCTGCGCCAAAACAGGTTGTCAATTCAGCATGTTGTCAGGTTTGTGGGACCTGACGCTGATTTTCAATTGACACCTATAGTTCTCTTGACAACTGACTATCGGCATAACAATATAAGAGAAAAAAAAACAAAAAAACAGAAACACATACTCGCAAAATTATTTAGAAATAATTTATCATCTATATCACATTCAATATTATCATACATAAATTAGATACGTGTACATATATTTTATATTGACAGACACGCACTAAGGACAAAAAATATATATACATATAAATATATTTATACAGCAACCAAACAACACAATACGTAAACTCACAGAAAAAATATATGTATAAATATATAAACACACACACCCTCACACACACACACAAACATATATAACTAGATACATTTTTTATGGAACTAAACCACCAAAAAAATAACCACGCAAATTGGATTGGAAATCTCGGAGTAATCTCGGTGTACATACATTAAAAAAAACATACCGACCGAATTGAGAACCTCCTCCTCTTTGAAGTCGGTTAAAAAAATAAAGAAATCAGATTGTTTTGATTATATACAAACCTAGACACAGCAAGCCAAATAACTCGCAAAGAAAATGGCTCATGTTACGCGAAATGTGTGCGTGTTACGAGTACAAGACTCATCTACGTCACTCATACGTCACGCGTACATTATGTGTTTCCCAAGTGCAGGACTGCAGGTGGCTCGATTGAGCAATCGTGTTGAAAAGTGCTTATTAGACAGATTTAGTTAATGTAAAACCTTCGGACAGTTTTGGGAGTTGCTTGAGCTTCAATCGTGGAAGCATCTTGACGTATAGTTTGTAAGACCGGATCATCGGGATCAATTAGTATAAGTAATTTTGTAAAACATTTAAATAAATAAAGTTATAATTTAAAGTTTAGTTTTTAAAAACCCTACCTGACGGCTCAATTCCGTAATTGGCGCAGTCGGTAGGATAGTCGAGTCAGTGCGAGCATCATACTTCGATCAGCCTGATAGTCGTGTCGTCGGCGTGTCGACTATCTCTACGAATCTACGCGAAGCAGTCGTCAGACGGGAAAGAAGAATCAACTTCGAAAACCGGCGCTAATCCAAAAATCGATGGCCCATCACCACACTAAGCTAAGCATCCTGCTCCTGTGAGTTTTATTATATAAGTTACGTATTCCTATTGGTTGCCAGCGGCTCCTTTCCTGTCTCCCGTAGGACGTAATAAGTTAATTAAATAAGTTTGTTTTAATAGTTAGAAAGATTTCTAGATATTCCTATTGGTTGACAGCGGCCCCTTTCCTGTCTCCCGTAGGACGTAATAAGTAAATTAATTTTTTTATAGTTAGAAAGATTGCTAGTTATTCCTATTGGCTGACAGCGGCCCCTTTCCTGTCTCCCGTAGGACTTAATAAGTAAATTAATTAAGTTTTCTTTGAATAGTTTAGAAAGTTTTCAAGATTTTTTTTCCAAAGAAAAGTAGAGATATAGGACCGAATCTGCGGCGCAGTATTCGTCCTAATTCTAGAGAATTAAGGTTTCATCGCGAAATCGAATTATCTACATTAGAAAGCATAGAAGAGGAAATGGCGACCGAACAACAATCTGTAGCTTATTCAAACGATATGACAGAAAGGATTTGGAAATCTTTAAGACTAGTCCCTGAGTTTGATGGAAATTCGAACATTTTAATTAGATTTTTGAACATTTGCGACCAACTGATTTTAACATATGTTAATCCAGCTCCGGGAAATGAACTAAATAATTACGCTTTAATTAATGGAATTTTAAATAAAATAACCGGGCCTGCTGCTAAAACATTAGCAACAAATGGCATCCCCCAGGACTGGAATGGCATAAGAAATGCGCTAATTAACAGCTTTTCGGATCACATAGACGAGTCCGCCCTATACACCGATTTATCTATGTTAACTCAAGGTTCTGATACACCGCAAATATTTTACGAGCGAGTTCAAAATTTACTTAGTATAATTATGACTTATGTAGAATTACACGTACAAATTAAAACAACAGTTGAGGCTAAACGTGAACTTTACAAAAAAAATAGCTCTTCAAACATATACCAGAGGCCTAGCCGAGCCTTTAGGCTCACGTGTCAGGTGCATGCACCCCGACTCGCTAGAAAAGACCTTGGATTTCGCCCAGGAAGAATTAAACGTCTTATACTTACAATCGAAAACCAGTAACCCGCTAATTTCTAAGAAATCGATTAACAATGCCCCGTTTAATTACTCACCTTTTAATTCGCATGACTCACTTATGCCTTCGAGACAATTCAATTCTGGAATGCTTACACATCAATTTAAACCTTTTAAATACCATTTCATGCAACAAGCCACTTTCCCTAATAATTTGTACCGAAAAATATAA